TTATCCAAAATATGAAACAACTTCTGGTTGCCTGAAGCATACAGATCAAGTAGTGATCTTGTGCTTCATTTTAACCAGTGTTTCTCAAACTTTTTAAGCAACGACAAACCTAGGAGCAAATGAAAATATCACGGCACACTTAGCAAAATTTTTAAAAGTTGTACATTTAAATGTTATGAAATAAAACCATGGATTTAAAAAAATACACACAAACATAAACTTTATTTCAATCTTTCTATTCAACTATTTGTGCAGCTTATTTAGTGTGAAACCTGTGCCTGGTAAATTTTTCACAATTTCTTCATTGTTTGGTTGAATATGAAATAAGCAGGAGGCACGGTGGAGTAATGGATAGCGACTTAGATTGAGGAATCGGAGAGCCGAGTTCGAATTCCAGTCAAATCCATTACATTCACTTACGTGCTAACACCCTTGGGAAAGGTGTAAATCTTCTTTCTTCTACCTCCAGCTATGGGTAAATAGCAGGACAGACTGGGTTCTATAGCTTTGGATGGCAACTGGTCTAGGAGAAGGAAAACATTGAATTCAAACCTGCTCTTAGATGAGGGTGAATGGAGTCTCTCTGAGCCTTGGTTGGCAATCCATTTAGTGATGGTGTCACGATAAAAACACCCTTGATAGCCCTAGCGAAGCATCAAGAATTCAGCTACTTGACAAGATTATGAACTACACCAATCAAAGTATTAGTGAGTACAATCTCAGCTGAGGCCGCAAGATGATGATGATGATGGACTATCATTTCTTTTTCTGTTGAGCTGTGACACTATGTGACACTAGTAAAAGGAAAGGATTAATTTAGAATATGAACTGGAACAGATGGAAAGGGTTAAAAGTACAGAATAACAAACTGAAAAAAGGAAGAAAAGACAGACTTGAAAACAATGACTTTAAATTGTTTTGGGGAAAGATATCAAGGCCTATATGGAAGATTTCAACCCACAAGGGCTGAGAAGGAATAGGGAAAGTATATTCAAAGTCATTTGAGAATTTTGAAAACAAAAGTAGAAATTGATTTATGTCCACTTACTTAAAGTAGAAGTTACAAAAACATGTCTCATGATTGCTAGACAGGGTCAATTGAGGTTATAATATTTGGAAATTTTGAAGACAAAGGAGAGAAACAAGAAACTGATTTATGTCTGCCTGTTGAAAGAGTGGAAATAGCTTTGTCAAATTTGGAAATGTAAACAAATCGAGAAATAGGATTTTTATCTTTTGCTTGAAGAAATTGAGATAAGAAACAAACCTATAAGGTTCATAAGTACAATTAAATGAACAAGATATGAAGACAAATATTTTCTAATAGCGGATTGAAGGAAACAGCTGGTGAATCTCTGATTGCATAAACAAGATCAGTGGTTGAGAAAATTTGATGTTGAAAATTAAGATAATTACAATTAATGACTAAAAGTTAAGACTGCCTTTTTGCCCACTCAGTTTAAAAATCAGATTTGTCAAAGAGACAACTGAGGTAGTAGGCTTAGATGCGATACTAAGAGAGAAGGAGAAATTACCTCTGCTCATTTGGAAGTAATGGTGCAAGGCATAAATAAGAGAAGGAATAAGTTATATGAGTGGGATGATACCTGCAACCACTACCCATTGAAGAAGGGATCTCCCAAATTTGGAGAGATAACATTGCAAACCAGACAACAAAGAACTCTTATTAAAATCAATACAGAAACCTGGGGACCCCCAAAATCCCCAAACACATCAGCCCTGACTCCGGTCTTTAATCAAAGTCAATATATGCAGAGCGCTTACGTGACCCAGGTTTAGAGAGAGAAAGACGAGACAGTGGTGAAGAGCAGATGAAGATACTACTGAGATTCGTGTGACTTGCTGCTGAGAGAATTCCCAACATTGAGCCCTGTTCCAAGAATTATCACCGATTGGCAAGTGACACTTTAGAAATTTTAGTGGAAAGGGCTAATTTTTTTATACAAAAACCTACATAAACCAAATGGAAAATTAACTCAAAGAAATTTTTGTTCTTATTTTGTCTGCAAGATCATTTCTAATTTTTTACTTTATAACACAGCTTCTCCCTGGTTCAAACCAGTGCTATGATTACTGATGATACTCAATTCCCTCTGCTCTGTGATTATAAAACACAACATGGGCGGAGAAAAGTGTGGCCCAAGGTGGCCAGCAACCAATGACCTGTTGACCAGCAATAGTATGGCACCAACTCTGCAATCAACTTGTCATCTTACAATCCTGAGGACCAAGTCATCTTTTGGTATAGATAGTGTGTGGTGTTATAGAATGTAGTCTTTCTTGCTTCTTATTTTTGATATTATTTAGGGTTGAGAAAGCCTAATTCACATAAATAAGAAGTAGAAAATTGCAATGAAATTGATAAAGCCTTTTTAGCTAATGTAGGATATTCCTTTTGTATTGAAATCCAAAATGTATCAACAAATGCAGAGAATGATTTCAGTTAGTTGCTTTTGTTTAGCGGCATCTCAACCTCAATGGCTTAATTAATGCCAAAACCTAAATATTTTGTAGGCAATTTTATTTTATATTTTTTTGAGATAATGGTTTTAGTAATATTAGTCCTACTAATTAACTCATAGTTGTGGAGAGAAGTGGTGGATTCATACCTTCCTCAAGGATATTTGCATGTAAGTCAATATAATGAACTCAACTGGAATCAGAACTCTGATTAAAAAAATCTAAGCTATTATCCATTACGCCAGCCAGACATTCAAATTTACAGCACCTAATATTCACAAGTGGTCACTCATTTAGGTACTGACCAGATTCAACATAGCTTAACTTTGGTGATTGTACAGGAACTGGCATTTCAATGTGAGGTGGCCCAAATGAAGGATGAAAAATTTTACATGGTGATGCTGTTTTGCTAGCTTATTAAAATGTAGAAATTCTTTAAATGTTTGCCAAGGATGAGAATACACCTTGACTATGCAGAGACAACAAATTGTAGGTATTATTTTGTAGTAATAACTTTTTTTTTTTTTTTCTAAATGACTTCTTTGCCAGATTTGGTATTGTTGAGACCATCATGTCTGACAACTTAATCTGCTTCTTCCAAATTTGCAGATTTCAAGCCAATAAACACATCACAACTCCATGCTACCACTCAAATAACCTGGGAGAGTGTTGTGAAATTATTAAAGTAAATATTGAGAAGAAACACTTAATCTCTTTTTTTTTCATATCCAAGAATAAACTTTATCTCTTTTGGATATCTTGATGTTTTAAACTTTCAATAATCTCTATCAGTCAATTATGTGTCATGTGTGATACATGCTTAAGCAATCATGTATCTTCCGATACATGACTGACAAGGCAGATTTTTTTCCACAGTAGGTTGCCATTTCTTTCTGCGGTAGACCAGTTACCATCCAAGGCTATAGAACCCGGTCTGTTCTGTTATTTACCCATAGATTGGGGAAAAGAAGAGGATTCATACTTTTCTCAAGGGTATTACCACCTAAGAGAATGTAATGAATTCGAGTGGAAATTGAACTCTGCTCTCCAATTCCTCAATCCGAGCCACTATCCATTACTCTACTGTGCCTCCTCCAATTTCTATAATCTCTATAAAAAATAAAAAACCTGATTTTATATATTTATCAGCCACAGAACCTCATCTGCCTTAATAATTAAATATTCTGATGTTTTGTAAAGAAGTATTACTTGATGCCAATAAATCAATATTTCATTAATAAATAAGGGAAATCAGGCTGCTAATACATTTCTTTTTATTTCTTTTTTTTTCCTATTTTCTTGGGTATTTTCATTTTAATGATTTAAAAAGCAAAATTCTTCCTCACATGCAATAACAGAATTAAGTGTACAGATAAAAATTCTTTATTACTTGTGCAGAAAATATAATCAATGCAATTGCAAAATTACTTATGTCACTTTTTAACAGTGTATGGGTTAACAAGTCAATAAATAATAATGTTTGATAATACAACAAAGTGATGCTAAAATTTGAGCCAAATTCTTTCAGTTCAAATAAATTGTGCTTTTTTAAATTGAAACTGAAGGAAATTGTATTTCTTCCTTTATAAATGAAAGAATAGACTTCTCAAATCATTGTCTACTTCCAAAACTGATTTATATTTGGAAAATATATGCTGCTAAAAAGAGTTTACAGAGTTTGTTTTTCAAAATGAAAAATAAATTTAAATAGATTTTTTTCTTAATGTTTGGTTGCCATTAAAGATTTATACTGAAATAGAAAGAAATGGTTTTGAAATTAATTTATTAATTATTTTATTATAATTCAATAATAAATTGAATGGTTTAAGACATATAGGGCTGTTACTGACTACAAGTATTGTTGTTCATGCTGAAATGTATGTGTTGTCATAAATTGTTAGTTTGATTTTTGAAAGTCGTTGGTTTGTTATTTGGTGATCATTTTTTTTTATATACTAAAATTCAGCAAATGCAAGTGATGCTTAGATTTGAATCAGATTCTCAGTTTTTGAGGAATGTCAATGGAGGGAAATAAAATAAATGAGGAAATAAAGTTTCTTTTATAAATTTAGTGTTTTTTTATTGATTTTATTTTCAAATAAGAACTCCTGTCCATTTTTATACAAGGTCTTCTTGTAAACAATTATGTAAATAGTTATTTTTGAACTTCTTTTTTGTACTTTGAAAGCCACTTGAGATAGAGGGCTACTGTAATATCAAGACAAATTAATGCTTAGAATTAAAATAAAAAAATAGAGAAACAATATAATTAAATTTACAAATAGTAACAAAAACAAAGAAAAAGTGAAGTACTGCCAACTTGTTGGGATACTGCTTTTGAGCTATTTTTTCACTTTTGAATCAGTGAATTAAAAGTATGTTTTATTGTACTATCAGTAAAATAATTGGTTTACAATTTTAACAGATTTATATTAAAAATAGTAATTTATAAAAAATCATTTAAATTCACTTTCATAAAATTTCTATATTTATTTTCTAAAATACAATTTCTAAACTATTCAAGAGTTTTTATCTGATTGTGAAGAGTCCAGAACTTCAATAACTGGGTGTTTGAGTTTTTTGTTGCGTTTTTGTATTTGAAAATTATTTTCATTAAGTTCTCCCAAATCATAAACTTCATCATCGGTCTCTCCTTCTGAAGATGCTTCACTGGTTTCATATTCGTACAGAGCCAAATTCTGTTAAAAACAAAACAAAAAAAAGATAAAACAGTCAGTGACATAACAAAACAACAACTGATAACATTCTAGACAACTTAAACCGCTGTTCTTTTTTGCTAAAAAAAGAATTCACATAAAACCTTGCACTATTTAAAAATAAATTTAGTTCGATATCCTTTTCTTCTTTGAATTATCCATGAATGAGCAGATTGAGTAATCATGTCTTTCGGTTGCAATCCAAGTGAATTTAGTACAATTAGAGGTTGCAACTTCTAATAAAAGCCGCAGTGTTTCATTTTTAGAGATGGTATATCTCCTTAGCATTGACAATGACATTCCTCTGCTAAGCAGATATAACATATGATCAGAGGCACCTCGAGGTGGTGTAATGGTTAGCAAGCTTGTCTCACTAGAACAATTACAACTGAGTAGTGAGTTTGATACTTACTGGGTGCCCCATAGTTTCGGCCTTGTGCTACGTCTAAGCAATTTTTGGAAAATCACTATAAGATATGATCAGAAACAACAGTCTGAAATGACCATCTTTTATGGCAATCCTTCACTTAAGTGGCATAAAATAAACTACTATTCCTTGAATGGTGTAAAATCAATAAGACCAATGTATATACATTATAATAAAACATTACAACAATGGGTAATAGTGGATTAGACATCAAATAAATGGTTAAAAAAAAAAAAAAAAAAAAATGGGGCTGTTCTTGTAGTGTAGGATCCACAAAATGTTGCTGATAAATAACAACATCATGAAAGTATATCCAGTGGTTGATTTCCTCAATTCCAGCATAAGCAGAGCTGATCCATCTGAAACAATATATAGCTTCAAGACTAAATATATCACACAATCACCCTTTTCAGAATCTCTGCTTGCTGATCTGACATTACAGCTAAGAAACATTCCTGTTTGATATCACTGAATACGCAATGGCCAGGGCACCATTGGCCATGTAGATATTTATGATGAAAAACATTTAAAGATATAAAATATTTTATGCTGTTTAAGTGAAGCAGAAATTTGACAGATAATTTTATGCAGTTTATATGAAGGATTACCTCTTTTATTATGTCCCTACATTACTAAGGTGGGATTTTGGGCCCCGTGTTTACTCCCCTACTACAATTTGACATAATAAGGATATTTACTAAATATAGCTGACACATGACCAAGCAATAAAATAAAGTATAAAGAATAAATTTCATCAATCTTCTCAGTGGGATGAAGGTCAACTTGACTTGAAAAAGATTTTTCCCTATGAGTTCTAACATAGCTCCCTAAGGCTTATAGTAAAGCAGCCCATTAAACAGGCATACCCCAAATTTTTTACAAGCCCAATTTGCAATTTGTAACTATTTAGGCATAACTTTTCATATAATTTGATGTGTCTAGAATTTTTTGTAACAGAAAAAAGTTTCTTCTGTAGCACAAACACTGAAACAACACATGCAAAGGACTCTGGTTTAATACATACTGCAATTTACTGATCTGAACTGTGCTGAGCACAATAGCTTACTCCTGTCCCAACAAACACTTTCCTCCTTTATTCGTTTTGCCAAGCCAGAAAATTAACATCTTGTTCACGCTGTCAGCCTCAGTCATATAGTCATTCCAGTACCAATACTTGTATGGTCTGCAATTTGCTTGTCTTATGTGCAATTTTAAGCAATGCCACTTTGGCCTTCTTGGATCTCCGAGGTAATTCTCCAGCACATTTTTATTTTTTTAAACATTGAGTGAATATTGATCAGTATATATTCAAATATAATAAGAATTGTTTAAATAATGTATGAAATGGATCCCTTGAAAAAATTAAAAATTTTTGCTTTCTGGATATTGGTGATCAGAGCTACCCAGAGACTCCTTTTCTTTTCTTCTCTGTGAATTTCCTTATATTAGTGAAATATTTTGTTAACTTCTCCCTTGTCTTAGACTGGCTGCTGTCTTAGGTTAGAGCTTAGTTTACTCTGTTAGTTAACACATAAATGGAGGAAAGAGAAGAAATTTTTTCATGCCTTTCTCAGGGGGACATTAATACACAAGTGAACACAGTAAACTAAGCAGAAATTTGAACTTGGATAGTCAATCTTAAGTTCTGTGTTGATAACTTATGTTATCCACATGTTCCTATTTGCCAACCTTTCCTTCTGTGCTGATAACTGTTATACTACCCACATGTCCTTATTTTAAATTTAAAATTGTTGAAAGAATTTTTTTGTTGTTGAGAAAATAGTTCTACTGTATCAATTCTTACATGTTATTACATACAGCTAGTCCAATCAGTAAAACTTTTATTAAAACTACATTGCAAATAACATTTCAAAAGTGTTGTATCATGAAATGGATAAGTTGATACACATAAAAGAAGTAGTAATTTATTCTGAAGAATAATATTCTACTAAGAGTCAAGAACACAGTCTACTGGAATAACAGTTAATCGTGAGCTTCACCTCAGTTCTGTTCAACTTTGGTATTTACCCAAAGCTTCCCCACAAGGTGAGATTTGGCACAAGGCCGGTTTTTAATGCGGGGCATTACAAGCATGTATGCTCGGGCAAAAATTCTCTGAGGACCCCCGCATACACAGAACCAGGTGGCTGTCTACCTCCCCAGACGAGACTCGGTCCTTTGGCATAGCCACATCTGGGTTCCTCCCTACCTCTGGGTAGAGAGGTCGACGAGAAGTTCTGTTCAACTTCCACCCTCTCAGTAAGAGAGAGCGTGCTATTTATCTTTTTAGATCGGTTCATCTTGTGGGCGTGCTCTGGTATTCCACAGCATCCCCCTTTTTTGAATTTACTACTTTCTCTGGAGGTTGTATTTTGGGGGGGGGTTATTTGCATAATTCCTGACAATTTCCTTTTTCATTTACTGAAACGTCTCTCGTATGGCCTTATATTAGTGAAATATTTTGTTAACTTCTCCCTTGTCTTAGACTGGCTGCTGTCTTAGGTTAGAGCTTAAGTTTCTTGTTATTTTATTGGATCCATTTCATACATTATTTAAACAATTCTTATTATATTTGAATATATACTGATCAATATTCACTAAAGGCATTGGTACCTTGAATAGGTCACAAATAACCTTCATTTGCTTTTCCTTTCGGTTATTCATATTGTCTTTTCTCCTTATCTGGTTGTGATGTCTCTTAACCATTTTTTCCAGGTCTTTAATGCATCATCTTTAATGCATCAATCATCCAATGTGTTTATCTATGACACTAGCATTTCAAAATTCTTTATTGCGCCTATATTCTTTGAATAAAATCTTTTCTTCTAGTGTATAGGATTTTGTAATTGTGTTTTTTCTTACTTTTTTATTTTCCTTTGTAACAGCTTGTCAAATACTAATTTTATTTTCATTGTGAACATTAATTCTGCCAGTGACAACCCTGAATTTGTACTTGGGTTTGGTGTCATCCGATATACTCTTAAGAATTGTGGTATCTTGTCAATGGATTAGTTTCCGTCTGACTTTTCCAATGCTCACTTGAAAGTATTCACAAATCTTTTTGATTGGCCATTAGATTGTGATATGGTGCAGTAGTCAGATGTACAATTAAAAAAAAAAATTACAAAAATCTTTGAACTCTTTTGTCATGAATTGTGTTCCATTGTTCAACACAATTGTATCTGGAAAGCTGAATCTTGCAAAAAGTTAATGCAAAAATTAATTAATTAATTAATTAATCAATTAATTTAATCAATTAATTAATTATTGAATTAAAAAGTTAATGCAAAAATTTTATCGTACTACTACATGTAGGATTTTTAAATTTTATCACCTCTGTCTGCTTTGAAAAACTGTTAACCACAATCAAATAGTATTGCCCCTTTATTGAACCTGCAAAATCAATATGCAGTCTTAGCAAAGAATATTTTCAGAATATTGTGTTAATTTCCCAGTGAAACCTTTTTCACATACCTAGTGTGTATGGTTCAATTTATATATCTACTAAAGATAAAGATAGCCTAATGTATTTGTCTGTAAAGAGAATCAATTGTCACAATTCAAAAGGTTTTGAGAATTTGAATAAAAAATTTATCCAATCAGAAAGTTTCTTGTTATTTTTTATTAATGTTGGTCAACAAAAAAAACTTTCCACAGCTGCAAGTTATGTCAAATAACAAAACATTCAGGGAAAGAAGTAAACTTTTCTCTTTAAAATTAATATTGCTTGTGGCATCTGTTAATCTCAAGAGACCTGATGTAATGAATATGCATACACCTGGGTTCTCCCTCACAGTAATATGATTGGCTGGTGTCAGCCATAAATACAGACTGATGTGGAGGTACATGGACTACACCTATTGCCTGCCACTATGACGAGGACCAGTCCATTATGATTACCTGCTAGATTGTCCTACCTGGTTACAGTAGTCAACAACCACTTTGCTACTTCGAACAAATATATCCCTTTCCGGGACATATCAAGACCATAGATCTGTGCCCAAAGAGTTACGCATCAGCTGCTGATGGTGGTGCATCATCCATTATGGCTGTACAGGCCCACATGGGAGTGAGTCACAATTGTAATGAATGTATGTGAAGATGCTCTCCTCTGATGTCACCATGTTGTTTTCTTTCCTTTGAGCACACTTCTCCCTGGTGGCAAACTTCCATTTCTTTTCTTGCTTCAACCCTTGGTGTAAACATTGTCCCCAACGTCTTCCCAACTCTTGATGTCCATTGCACTCAGGGCCCATTTTTAGATGTCCTTGAAGCACCCTTGTACCCTCTTGCCAGTGGCTAGTTCCTTATACAGAAGGAGCTTCAGCTCTTCCATCATTAGACTGTTGCTTTCTGTGTTTTGCCTTTGCAGTGAGGTAATGCTAAAGTGTCCTCTCTAGGGTGCAATCCTGGGCAGGGTTTTATGAAAGATCGACAGTTGCCCATGCAACATATCTCCCCTCTCCATGCCACTGATTTGTCTAAGGGGAAGGTAGAACCCAATACAGTATATATAATTATATAATATATAATTAATATTACTTAATGCATATCT